CCGATGTAAAGTGCCTCCAGCACCTTGAGGTGAAATAAAGAGTGTGACCGGGAAAACACAGTGAACCAGTTGACACTAAATTTAGCTGCACACTCTCTGCTATTTAATAGGTGTTCACATATGGTGGAACCATAGGTGTTTGCGACGAGTCCATTCAACGGCAAGGTGTGATTCCTGATTTTTGTAGGAACGTGTTGTTTTATTCTCATGTCTAAGCATTGAGTCGTTCTCCCTATGTAGTCAGCGCCGCTACTACAAACATATTTATAAATAATTGAATTAATTTGATGGGGAGGGAGAACGTCTTTAGGCAGAGTTTGAAAAACTATACAAACCTCAGCAGAGAAAAAAACAACGACGAACATTAGATGAAATTTGTTTAACTATACTTTCACATTTGGTACCAATCCAGGGCAATCTAAGATAAACCGGACACTTTTTGACAGTACAGAGCTTGACACTTCTGAACTCCTCAATTTTGTTACGGATAACTAAATTAACAGTATCCAGAGGATAACTTAAACTACATAGGGTTTCCCTAACAAAATCGATTTCATCATTCAAGAAGGACTCTGAACAGATCTTTAATGCCCTGTGTAGGAGGGTCTTAATAATGTTTATCTTACGTTTTGTGGGACAAAAGAAATCCCAATGCGTATACAACCCCACAAAAGTTGGTTTCCTATAAACTGAGGTAAGAAAACTTGTTGATGTTTGATGTACTAATACATCCAAGAAGGCCAATTGGAAATTGGATTCCTTCTCAACAGTGAACCTCAGTGCTGGATGGATGCCATTTAGAAAAGAAAGAAACTGATCAGCCTCAACTTCGCTGTTGAATAAACAAAAGGTATCATTGACATACCGACAATACAGTTGAGGACACAGTGCATTCTTCCGTATTCTTTCTTTGTGAAAGCCAACAAATATATTAGCAAGTGCTGGACCCAAAGGGGAACCCATAGCAACCCCGTCAATCTGTCGAAACATAGTGTTATTAAAACTAAATTCAACAGAAGATGTGGCAAATTTCATCAATTCAAAAAATACTGACTCAGGAATACTCGGTGGAGACAATGAACTGCGATAAAGCAAAACCCAGCAAATATTGATAGTTTCCATAAGAGGGACACAAGTATATAGAGAACAGACATCAAAGGAACCCATGAACTTGCCAGAAGACAAATTTTGAATACGGTCGACAAAGGAAAATGAATCTTTTATGCAAAATCCACTCAAGCACTGAAATACTGGTTCCAAAAGCGTTGAGAGGCATTGGGCTACCTTGTGTTGGGCTGAACCAATCATTGATAAAATTGGTCGTAATGGTACTCCATCCTTATGGATTTTTGGGAGCCCATGCAGATGGGGACGAATTGAGCCAGAGGGTCAAATTTCATTGGCAATTTCTTGTGGAAGCAGCTCAGGCTTTACTCACTTCAGGAGTAATTTCTGAACTTTTGCTTCACCTGAAGTAGTTCTGTCACAAGTATGTGCAGATCCAAGCTTGGTAAATTTCGAAGTATCTTCTAAGATCGAAGACATCTTGGCTACGTAATCTGCTCGGTCTAAAATAACAACTCCAGCACCTTTTATCTGGTCTGGAAATTATTAAATCATAATTTATTCCTCAGGGAATTGATCACTCACTGACATTCAGCTTTCCATTTCAATTCAGCAATAGCAACAGAGGAACTAGAAAAAGTGTGTGCGGAATTATTTAACTGGGCTTTCAAATCGCAAACCATATCAGCAGACATAGGAGACAGTCTTGCCAACTGTGCATAGAAGATCTTGAACTCTGAAAAAAATCTTCTCCTTATCAGGCATGGAGGGTGGAATGCAAAAGTCCAAACCATGAGCAAGAACAAAAGATTCTAGCTCAGTTAATTCATGAGAGGACAAATTGATAATATTATTTAAATTAGGTTCCGCTGTAACTCCATATTTCTTGTGAACCAAACTTTTCAAATTAGCATCATGCTTAGTTGACAATTTAACACACTTACATTGATGGACCCAACCCCAAAACCTAGAGAACCTTACACAATCAAAAAATGAAATTGAATTCCTATAAGAACACCATAATCTCTTGTAATCCTGCTTTAGACCCAGGCTTCTAGTTGAAAGATGTTGAATCCAATCTTTAATAAAGACAGATTCGCCCGTTTTTAATATGTCTGGTAATATTAAGCTTCACACTTTTATTTTTATTTCTGTAATATATATATATATATATATATAGAATTAATACAAAAGATTTGCCACTTAGCTGATTGATGTTACCTTCAGCATCCTGATTCCAATATTTCGTAGACAGACCCTTTTGGAAATCACACCATCCACTTATCAGGGGGTATTACCTTCAGCATCCTGATTCCAAAATTTTGTAGACAGACCCTTTGGAAATCACACCATCCACTTATCAGAGGGTATCTTGCCTTTTATCAGGATAGGCTAAGTGCAGTGAATATCCATATATTGTACTTGTGTGATGATTATCATGTCTCTTATCACTCTGTATTATGATCTTGTACCAGACGAGATAAAGTTTAGGTCAAGAGCTTCAAGTATTTCACCCTTTTTTGTTTCTTTTTGACTTTGTATTTATATTTCAAATTCCTTAAATTTTCACTCACCTTGATGTTTACTGTTTGCTGGAGTTATATGTCTGTGGATTATATTTTTTTTATTGCTTTTTGCCTTTTATTTAATTAGTGTGCATCTGATTACAGTACACAAGATTCCTTTATTTGTCAACACGAGATAATTACACCAAATAACAAAGCCTTCTTCAGATGATGACTTCAGGGTTAGGTTTGGTTTCTTGGAGTACCATTGCCACTCTCAGGGCACCCAAGCAGTACCTTACAATACCACCAGACTTTGTAAGTTTGTGTGGGAATGACAGATGAAAATTCTTCTTGATATATTTTCTTACTGTATTTACAACTTGACATTGAAAAGTCATGAGACGAGAAATGAATTAGAAATTCGATGATGTGAGATTTGAATAAACTGACCAGATTGTAGATCAGGTTCTCTAGCCTAGAGTGGCTGACAGTATAGGAGATGGCAATGGGAAGCCACACCACTATCTTTCTCAAGAAGTTATACCAATTCATCTGTGATAAAGAAAAAGAATCTGTGGAGAGCCATGATCAAAATCAACTGATTTAAAGTTTAATTTGATTTTAGTATTGAGCTGATAGATTAAAGCTAATATTTAAATTAAAAAATTTTAATAAGCAAAAGAGTTTGCTGTATTTCAAAATTAATGTAAATTGATTGGAATGATTTTTTCTGATTATCAGTGAAATTGATAAAATTGTTCATATTGATAAATCTGTCAACACAATATAATTCTCTTTATTACAAAAGAAGAAAAAATACTTTTCTGAAATGTTTTTTGAGAAAAATCAGCTGATTTAAAGTTTAATTTGAATTGAAACAAATATTACTTTTAGTTTAAAATATTGCAAAAAATAATTTTTTTAACACAGAGGTAGGTGTTTTTGTGAGGTGTTGACACATTTATTGACAGCCTGATGTTTGATAAATTTATATAAGGAGGAGATAATTGTGAAAAAAATTACATGACGAATACAACATTTTTATCTGTGAGGAGATTGTACAGTATTCACTGCCATAGAGAATTGATATTCCATAGCTGTTTTCCATAGCTGTTCAGCACTTTTTTCTTTGTTTCTAATTAAATTTTCCTCTTAGTTTTTTACTTTGCTTTTAGAATGCATCTTTTGCTGTTCCAATACACATCTGGGTTTTGGTGTCATATTTTCTATCCTCTGTTAAATACTTCCCAGATATTTAAATTTCTGTACTTATTTGATTTTTGACATCTTGAATTTGTAGTTTGCATCTTGGACTTTTTTCTCTTATTGACAACTATACATTCTGTCTTCTTACCATTGACAGTTAGTTTTTTCTTCTTGTTTTCATTTACTACCTTGTCTGGGAGGGTCCTGTAGTTTTCCTATTTAATTTCTTGAAGGGAGATCTTATTAAAAAAAATAGATGAGAATATCACATATGCCTGGTGTTGTATCAAATTGGGTTGGCAAACAAAGAAATTCCGGGTACTGTAGTATTTGTTCTGATGGCAAGACTTTTTAGTTGAATTATTCATCTTGATCTTAGATTGACATCATTGTCAATATTGGTAACTGATTTTTGCTGAATAGTTTTGCATTTCTTTCTGATATCTCATCCTCCTCTTTTGAGACACCATGAAGACAGATCTTGTTTGGGACTTGTAACGATTGCATTGTATCACAGTCCCTTGAGAATACCCATTGCAAACTAAGTCGACAAAACTTTTTCACTTTATATGGCGATATTTATAAGTCTGAAGAAAGTACATATTTTGTAAATAAAAATCATTTATAAATTTTTGTAAATATGAGGAATTAGTTTAGGACCTCATGGAGAATACACGTTTTGGTGATTGGAGTATGGATGTATTTTTTGGTATTGTGGTGGAAGGATTTATTATAATGTATGCTTGGGTCAGTGAATGTGATTAGTTAAGTTAAGGTTAGACCAGTGATGACCAGCCTTCCCCATTCCCCCTTTATAGCCTTGTGCCACATTTGTATTTTTTTTTTTTATATACAATAAATATTCATTCTACATAGGATTGAAACCAACAATGATCCATAAATGCTAACTTCTGTAATTGTCTTATATAATTTGTTATTTGCTTGTAAAATGACTAATAATTACAAAATTACTAAAAATATACAGGATTTTAATGGTACAAAAATTTTAATAGTACAAAAATGAAACTTTATTCTACATGATGTATGGAAACATGAACCTTATCACCTCTAGCCCAAGGTCCTATTAACAAGTGGATTTAAGACTTGTAATCACTATGTAAAAATCTGTATATAATGCTCCCTCCCTACTTACAGTATGTATAATGCTTCTTACCTCATCTTTCCACCAGATAAGTTACCATGTGACCCACAAATCAAATAATGGTATACATCTATCTACAGTATATAGAATGCCTTCTGTTGTCTTATTGAATAACTATTTCTATAAAGAAAATGTTTCAGTATATATAGACTTCAATCCAATCAAAACTATTTATAACCTGTAATATCAAAGAAATCAAGGCCAAAATGTGCACAAAGCTTTTCCCAACTATCACAATGATGCTACGAATGCAGAGAATAATATTAGGCAGCAGAAGAGGAATATTTGCTGTCATGAAATTATCAAGACAAAAAAAAATTTTTTTTTTTTTCAAACATATTTAAATTTGTCTTTAGGTAAGTTACAATTTAAAAATGTAATATTTTCCTATATTTGATTTTATTAATTACTTTTATATTCTATTCTAGAATTGTAACAATTTCAGGCAGTCTAATTGTACTTAATTTCTTTTTTGAAGTTTCAAATGCATTTTCTATTGAACTTCATCTTTTCATAAAAAAAGGATACTAGTTTAGTTTTATAGAATTATTTAATAAATGAGGAATTAAGCTTCTGTGTAAATGTTTTTTGAAAAAGTAGAAATCGCTTGTCATTTTTTCACATTTAGAGGTTTTTTGTTTTTGGTCACCCACTGATTTTGGGTTAGACTGCTGGTTAATATTTGCCCGCCTGTAGCTGGCCATTTTTTTTTAACACAGCCAATTTTGATAAGATTTGGCCTTTATGGTAATCTAAAAGAAAAGGCACCAAAACATCATCTTATTCTTGTCCATCCTTACCTGGACAACAATGGTTACTAAAAGAATTTTAGAGAACATGTTCATAATGAAACTTTCATTTTAGCTAATAAACTATTTATGTGAACCTTAAGAGAAACCTTAATTATTTTCAAACTATCAAAAAAACAGAAGTAATGTGTCCCTCAAAATAAAATAAAATAATAAATTAATGTTTATTCTTAAAAAGAAATAAAAAAAAGACATAAAAATAGAAAAAAAAAAGGGAAGAGAAAAAGTACATTCAAGATTTTGTGTAGAAATATCTGTTGAATATTGTGTTGTGGTTGAGAGGGTGTTTACTGTTTATAAGTAAAAAGCTTTTATTTCCTAAATATTCATTTCAATTTCATCAATGAAAAAAGAAAGAAATGGTTGGGGGGGGGGGTCAAATAACCAATTTGTATTTAAAACTTTGTGACAATCATTGGTATTTCCACGTGTTGACACCTAGCAGTTATACCTGTATGTGATTACTTTTTCTTAAATTTCATCCTTTTGTTTAGCGTCATTGTATTTATCTTGATTTATTCCTAATCTTTTATCGCTGATACCCTTTCGAAAATTAATTCTTTACGAGTTAAAAAGGCCTTTTCTTGATCTTGTTTACAACTCGTCGGTCGCTTTTCATAGTAACGGCGGCTCTCAACTCGAAAAACGTGCAAAAGTCGGATCTTGGAGCTTGGTGTGAGTTGACCAATGAGAACCTTTTATTATTAACCAATCGTTTGCGCTTATTGCCGCCAGAGTTGACCAATCGTTGTGGTCGTTGGGCGACCAATCGTCGGCGCGCATGCCGACCAATCAGAATCGACTGCGTCAGGTCACGTGCTGTTGCTGCCAGTTAATGAGATTTTCATAAAATCACATTTCTTCGCTGTGAGCTTGTGTGCAGAAAAATCGTATTTTTTCTACTTCAGCAAAGCATGTAAGTACTTGAAAAAGTTGTTTCTTGATTTTCTGTATTTTTACCGTTTTCTACCTTTCCCCGTTGGTAGAGGCATCGTCTGATTGTTATTGGACTTTTTTTTCATAACACTAAAATAACGAGTGATAGAGCGTGGACTCTGGTCCGAAACCAACAATGTAGTAGATTCTTTTTCATCTGGTGTTGCTTTCCAGCCCCGACCAACCAGCAGTCCCGCCATATTGTCTGTTTCTGTTGTTTATATCATTACTTGGCCGATCGCTTCCCTCAACAACTCTGTAACACGTGATTACTTTTCATGATAACATTCACAGGCCCTTTTTATTCCGTAAGAAAATGTTACCAAAATATGAAATATATTTTGATGCCCAGTGATAGATCGGGGGCTTTAAAAAAAAAATTCCCGCTCGTCCGTTACTAACAAAAGGTTGTTGTTGTTGTCTCTTTCTCTCGACCAACATGGCCAAGAAGAAATGATTTTTTGAAAAACTAGGTCGGCTCTCACAAAACCGGCTTTTTCTGTACTTTCATCTCTTTATTATCTCGTTCTTACTTAATTTTATTTATTATTTATTCCTCCGTTTTGTGCTGAGGATTATTTTTGTGTCCCAAACCATTAGAAATCCACGGATTTTCCCGTTTCTTCTTGGTAGGGAAGAAATGAAGAAAAATTACCTTTTCTCTCTGGAAAGATTTTCTTTTTTTTTTTTTTTTTTTTTTTTTTCTCTCGACATGGCGATTTCTGCCTTTTGTTTTCCCCTTTTTAGTGTTGACTTTTTTCGAAAATATGACTTTTATTTATTTTTTTTCATAATAAACTAGTGAATCGTTTTTATTTATTTATTTTATTTTTTTTTTTATTTTTTTTATTTTTTTTTTTTTTTAAACAAAACGATCTTGAGGGGCTTTCCTATTTAAAATGCCTTCCACAGCTCTTATTTTATTTTTCCTCTCTACCTCTTAATGTTGAGGCCATATTGGTTGCTTTTCACTTCAGTTATCTCTCGTTTCGAAATCATTTTTCAACCACGTTTACTGTTGGTATTGTGCCATTAGTTTTTATCTTTTTTTTTTTTTTCTTTTTCTTTATACAACTTCTGTTTACTCTAAATTTATTAATGGAGACTTTTTTAAATGTAATTTTATTGTTCAGACTTTTTTTTTTGTTTTGTCATCTAAACTTTCCCTTTTTATTAAGGGATTTTTATTCTTACACCTCGTGATTGAATTTTTCCTAATATTTTATTTAAATTTCTCGTCGCGTCTTAAAAAAATAAAACTAATAACTGTCTTTTTTTTTTTTTTTTTTTGAAATTTCATGAACCATTTGGGTTCAAATTGAATTATTTTAAACTTTTGTTTTTAATGAACTTCAATTAACTAAAGATAACTAATTTACTGAGCTTTTTAGAATACCGTGCTCAATGAATATTCCTCCTTCCCCACTTTGATATGCCTTGACCAGTGCCATTGTGGCAAAAGGACGGGCAAGGAAGACCCCCCCCTTTTTTTTTTCTTTTTTTTCTTTTTCTTGCTCATCGTTGTCGTCGCTTTGGCGGCAGCAGCAGCAGCCAATAATCCATTTACTTGACTGCGCATGCGTCGTTGCCCTCCCTATAAATACCGAAACCTCAGCCTCGCAGCATTCAGTCCAAGTTTGTCTCGCGTCCTAGTCGCTTCACATTTTTTGGCTTCATATTTAAATATTTTTTTTTTTCTTTCGTTTTGTACAGCGCTGTTAATTAAAAGTCAAGTGTCAGTGCCAACAATTCCGTTGCAATGGCTCGTACCAAGCAGACCGCCCGTAAATCTACCGGAGGTAAAGCTCCTCGTAAGCAGCTGGCCACCAAAGCTGCCCGTAAAAGCGCTCCATCGACAGGAGGTGTGAAGAAACCTCATCGTTACCGACCTGGTACCGTGGCTTTGAGAGAAATTCGACGTTACCAAAAGTCAACTGAATTGCTCATCAGGAAACTGCCATTCCAACGTTTGGTCAGAGAAATCGCACAGGACTTCAAGACAGATCTTCGTTTCCAGAGCGCCGCCATTGGCGCCCTCCAGGTAAACAAAAACAAGTTTTGTTTTTCTTTTCATTCAAAAAAGAACTTAGAGAATTATTGGATTTTTCTTTTTTTTTTTTTTATTTGATATTTTAAAAATGAAGGAAAATTCTTTTCCTTTTCTCTCTTTCTCTTAATGTACATGTGACGTCAATTCGTTTTCTCATTGGCTAGTTTCTTCTAAACAAATGCTGAATATTCATGAATATTTGCTGCTGCTGTTTACTTTCATCCTTGACCTTAGTTTTTTAAAAGAGGGGCAGATAACTGAGACTGGTTAAAATGGCATCGATTTTTTTTTTATTATTCCAATCTTTCTTCATTATTTGAATTTTAATCATTTAAATGGTCTTAAAATAAAAGCGAGCAAAATAGGTACATGATTTTAATTAGTTTTCAAGTTATATTTATTTACATTGCTTCCTGTTTTGATATTAGTCAATTGCATAAGTACTCCACACACACACATTCATTTTATTTTTATTAACCCAAGGTTTTTTTTCTTTTCTTTTTTTTTTTGCTTTTCAGGAAGCAAGCGAAGCTTATTTGGTGGGTCTCTTTGAGGACACCAATCTGTGTGCCATCCACGCTAAGAGGGTAACAATTATGCCCAAGGACATTCAACTGGCCAGAAGGATCCGAGGGGAGAGAGCATAAAAAGACACCACCAAATTCACTCTTGGAAAAAAAAAAAAAATGTAAAAAAAAAAAAAAAAAAAAAAAAAAAAAGACAGATACAATGAGGAAAGAAAAGAAATTTCCCCCCACCCAATGCTGCCACACCCTGCATACACACTCTCCCTTCCCACCCACCGCCCCTCTTCTCAAAATGCATCACCAACAAGAAACAAAACGTCATGTCATTTTGTATCAAGATTTCATATTAGGACATAAAACTTTTTTATAAAAGAACCATTGTAGATCATTGGAATAATTTTTTCGTTTCTTTTCTTTTTCTTTTTTTTGCAAATTCTCTCCTCTCTCTCTTCCTCTCACTTGTCAAGCTTCCTCTCCCTCACTCTCCTCCTCCCTATTTTTCTTTGTCTGTCTTTCTCACTTTCTCATCTAATCAGTGTATTTTTGAATTCTCTTAAATGAAAAAAAGGGCAGAGGAAACTTGCATTTAATTTATTCCATCATTTTTCATTTTTGCTCTTCTTTGTACTTGACAAACCTGAAACTCTAATTTTCTTCTAGCAGAGCCACTTTTAATGTCCTGCTGTGTGTCTGTATGTCAGTCATGTTGATGTCCAAATAAATAGTATAGGCAACAGCCAGACTGCCGCCGCCGCGTGTCTCACCCTCCTTTCCACTTCCCCCTTTTTAGGGGCGTTTTTGTCCCACTTTTTCTTTTTGCATCCACACCCCGCCTAAAAGTTTGGAAGGAAACAAAAGGCATCCTCCTCCTACTGAACATTTATTTCCTTTTCTCTTGAGCCCCCTTTTCTTTCCTTCCATCTTTTTTTTTTTTCCCCCCCCGCGGGACCAAAACGACTTTCTTCGTATTTTTTTTTTTTCTCCCCTAAATGCCTTTTCCCTTCTACGTTACTTATTTGTTATAAAGTATATTTCCTTCCCCTTATCATTCTTCCTTTCGGAAGAGAGAATCATCTTATGAAAACGAAGAAAGTCGTTAATGGATGAATGTGTGTTTTGTTTATTATTTTATTTTATTTTTTTTCCTCTTTAATCTATGGACCCTCCCCGACTTATTTGTAAAGCTGAGGGTGGTTCTTTTATTTTAATATACATTTCCCTCTCGGAATTTGGCAGTTTTCTATTGTCTTTTGCCTTTACTGCTTAAATTTAGACCTTCAACTTGTTTTTGGAATTAAAAGAAACTTGATGTACTGTCTTCATAAGACATCAGGTTTGTTGTTCTACTGCTGAGCCAAAACTCATTTGCCCCTTGAGAAAATTAAAAAAAAAAAAAAAAAACAAAGACCATTTCGATATTTTTCCTCTTTTATTGCCACTTTCGTTTGCCTCGCCCCCCCTCCTTATTATTCGTCTTTCCCTTGTCGCCTAATTTCCCTTTTGACTTGTTGCAATCTTAAGTGAAGCGCTTCACTGTCCAGTCCCTGCCGTTCGTTATGACGGATTTGGGCCTTGATCTGTGCCTGTTCCAATGAGGGGATTCTTTCGTACAGGGGTTTGTCCAATTCCAGGTCGAGGTCATTCTCTTCGCGTAACCACAGGAAATAGAGTAAGAAAATCCCAACACTGACGGCCACGATGAAGGGTTCTGCCCGGGGTCTGGATTCCTGTTGGGCCTTAGGCAGGCTGAAAGTGTCGAAGGATTTCCACTTGGCCGCTGCACTCTGGCTAAACTTCTCAGGGCGAGGGTTGCTGGCCTCTTCCTTAGGGGACCGGCTCCCCAGGCAGCGACTGTTAGACAAAAAAAAAAAAAGTAAGACGATAACAAATTTTGCAGCTACGGTCGTCAGTTTGTATATTAAAAACATTGGGGGGGGTGTCTTAAATTAAGTCGCTCCCATCAGTTTGACAAAATCCTTTGAAACCATGAGAGATTTTACATAAATGCCCAATAAAAGTAATTTAATTAACACTTTTATAGGGGGTACCTCCACGGGATCGCTAATCTGCATGACGATTAAAGCCTCTTTTAGATGAAATAAGTATATTAATTTGGAAATTCTTCCAAAAATGTTTAGGACTTAAGTATTCACAAATGAATTTTTACATGTTAACTGTTGTGTATAAAATTTGTCAGAATGGCCAAATCCTATCAATATAATTTCTTTTCTGAAATTCACACCAGAGTATCTTGCTCACTAGAAATAGTAAATTTTAAACCTTACATATACTGGTTTAGTGGAGGTACCTATAAAATTAAAACTATTTTGTAGTTTACAAAATGTTTTTCCGTTTTCATACATAGTCTGCCTTTACTCCAGAGTCCTAAGGCGACAGACAACTTGATGAGAAATTTGGTTCCCGGAGGGGTGAGGCGTAGAGGTGGAATGTAAACAAAAATCATTCAATAATGGCAAAAAGCCACTCAGTTGCCTTTTTATTTCCATCTTTCTATTCTTTGGTTTAGAGGGATTTTTTTTTTTTTTTTTTTTAATACTGCTTTTGGAAGAAATTTAATTAAAAATGTGCCAATGAAGATCGTAGTCATATCTACACACTCTTCCTCAAGCAAAGGGGGACAATCACATACATTTATAACATTCGCAATCGATACAAATTTGTTTAAAAGCCGCATACCCTTTTTTTTTTTTTTCCCACCCCCTTTATGAATAAGTGATTTTGATAGTATGGAAATGCTTCCATTAAAAAGGTCTATTTTTAAAGATTAATTAGAAAGCTTATTAAAATTGTCTGACAAAACTATGGATGCACACTTGGGGGGGGGGTCGTGCGCTAGGGTTATTTTCTCATTGCATTTCACTTAAAATTAGCACATTTTGCCACTTCTACCATCCAATAAATTCCTCTGACAAATTGTTTACATTGATGTATGTCAATTTACCTCACCAAACCAATCACCACAGGACTCTTACAAAATTTTCCGCTAAAAAGTAAGGTTTCTTTCAAATTATATTAAGTATACTTTAAATTTTCCTAAAATAATTTTGAGAAAAAGTATAATTGAATTTTACAAGATTTTTAAATAGGGAAATTTGACTTTTGCTTATAAAACTGTCAGTGAAAGACAATGGTTGATTTTACATCAATTTTGATGACTCATAGAAAAGATTTTTAGCTAAAATTTCGGATGTGCTAGAAAGTATTTAAAAAAAATAGTTTGATCTTTCCTCTTAATAGTTAGAAAAAATTAGACACAATTTTTTTTTTTTAAAGCGAATTTTTGGGCATTCCTAGTTTATTGCATCTGAATTTGTCAAATCACAAAACATAATGCATGATTTTTTTTATTTATTTTTTTTTACTGACACAGAGGGTGTGTCATATGGTGGATGCTGGTGATCTACCCTGGATGACAAGCATTGTGTCAGGATTAGTAAGGTAAATTAGGCTAAGAAATCAGACAAATCATGCAAGTTGCTGAATAAATGAAAAATTCAGTATTTTAGAAAAGGAAATTCCACACGAAGGACAATTTCTTTGGCACCGAAATCCATTTTGAAAAACAATCTTCAAGCTTTTTAAATTTATGCATATAATTGTCAAGTTGCTAAATACTGATGCTATTCATCCAAGCATACCCTCACATAGGGGAAATGGGTGAAAAAGTAAAACTAACCAAAATCTTGTTTACATATATATATATATATATATTTTTTTTTTTTTTTTTTTTTAAATATTAAACTCATAAATTGTCCGGTTGCTGCTTCTTTGGCACAAGAAGACATAAGTAAAAGAAATGAAATTTTCAAATTAGTTTCATTCATTTGTGAATAAGTCCTAAAAGTTTCATTAAGATCAAATAATTTGATTTTTTGCAAGAATTTCCTAATCAACTGCTGATGAAAAAAAAGTTTCAAACTGTCTTTCCTCTTATTGATGATAAAACTTTCTTCTTATTAACTACACTGTTTTTGGAAAAATGTGGAGGTAGGTACTTTTTGCAATTTTGCTTTTCAGCCTTCATCAGGTGATTGATTCAAATAACCTTTGGGGAATTTCAAATTTTAACCCTTCAGGAACAATTTTTTCTTTTTCCATTTGCTTATTGTTCTACTCGGGACAAACAAATGGATTAGGATGAGTAATAAAGTCTAAAAAAAACATGGACAATCTACTTTTCACATAAAAACCCTGTAGAGATTCCAGGAAGGTTGCAGATTGACAGGCATTAATGATGGCTGGCGGGCACAACGGCTGAAATGTTGAAATAGGACAATAAGAGTCTGCATGTAAATAACTTGTCCGAGAAATTAGAGAAAAAAATAATAATCATTATTATTATGCTTGACCCAAAAAAAAAATTAGATGTAGGTTTTTTTTAAAAATTTAATTTCACATGAAGAAAAAATGTCATTTCAGGCATGTTGCAGAGGTCGGAGAAGAGCTACACACATTTTTATTCCTGCAATAAAGTTAGACTTCAATAATAATTTATGAACCTTTTTAGATTTGAAATTGAATTTAAATTGAAACATGCATTTTACAACTTCAAGACGTCTACTTGTGAACAATTCTGCTGCCAGTTTTTTTTTTTTTTTCCTCCTCTCATTAAGTTAAAATCTTATTTTAAAGTCAAAACTTTATCACCAGGACATCCCACATTTTTAAAAAAACCTAATTTCTTTCCCCCCTTCACCCATGAAAACATACAAAATCCCGGAAATATTTTGGAAACAGAAAATAAAGGAGTGGAGTAATGTGTGTGTGTGTGTGTGTTTTTTTTTTTTTTTTAAATAAATTTAAATGGAATAAAAATATGATGGCGATGAATTAGGCACCACCACTTTTTTGGCATAAATTTTCAATTACCTAGGTTTTAAAATTAATTTTTAAACATGAAAATACATTCTTGAAAAATTCATTTGAGCTTCAATTGAAAGCTAGAGGATTAAATTTATTATTTCCAGGAAGTAAAATATTCTGGTGTATTGCAGATAGACATTATATAGATGTCAAATATTTGCTCAATTTCTTAAAGGCAGCCATTTTCTTAATTTTAAGAATATATCAATTTTAAGAACTCTTCCAAACTTAAGTACATTTAGCAAAAAGTTGAAATAAATATTTATATAGCATAAAAACGAATATACAATCATTTCTTAACAATGGGTCCTATCTTTGATCTTTATTCAAGTATCAGTAAGTTTGTGAGGTGATATGACAGGTCTTATGGATGATCAGAATTGACATGAATTTACAAATGAACATTCATTTTGTAGATGAAAAAAAGGGAATGAATTAAGTAAAAATAAATTATTTTCATAATATAATAGTGTAACTGTTTATTAATTTTGTATTCGTAAATTTCATTTCTACTTAATTACTATATCACATCAAGGAAATGGCCCAATACAGAATTTTACACAATTTTTTAAACTATTATAATTTAAAGAAAAAAAATTCACTAAATCGGAAAATTTTTTATTTCTACAGATAGTGTTCTTAATATCACTTATTTACAAAATCTTTTCTAATAAAATAATCTGTTTTATTGCATTTATTTTTACAATTCAGAACAGATTTTCATTTAGAATAGTGCAAATTTAGAAAAAATTAGTTGATTTGCATTCTCCAAGAAGACCTACTTTTAACGAATAAAAAAAGAAATAGAAAGGTTAAATTAAGTAACATGCAAAAAAAAAATTAATTTTAGTCCTAAAAATGTCATTAAAATCTGACAATTTGATTTTTACAAGAATTTTCAAATCAATGTTTTCAATCACAAAAAAGTAAATGTAATTATGACACCACCCTGATGACAAACAAAGCATGATAGGATTAAAAATAATAATCAAAAAATACTTTGGTTTCAATAATAAATATTTTGACAATAAACCTTTATTTTTATCAAGTTCATGGCCTTTTTCATTACACTATGCTGTTTCCTGCAAAACATGTGGGTGTACTTACGATGAATGAGTGAGATTTAAATAAAAGGAAGATAAATGATTGAAAATTATTCTGAGTTTTTAATGTTAATATTTATTAGATTGAATTTTAAATAATTTAGGTGGGGAATGGTGTACAAATTCTGGCATTTTCTTACTCATGATGAATAATTTGGCCATCAATTTTTTGATTTTTCAAATTCCAGAAGGAAAGAGGGACCTAAAAATCGTTAACACAATTCAGCTGTTTTTTTTTTTTATGTAAAATTAAATGAAAATTAGTTTTTAATCTTTACAAGGAAATCACAAATTCAAAAATATGAGAAAGTGGTTTGCATTTTTTATAAATAAAATGTTTATCACTCTCAAAAACAACAAAAAAAAGAAAATCACAAATGTCCTCATCCAAACTTCAAGCCTACAGTGTATGTCTAAAAGCACAATTCTAAAATTATTTTCACAGATTTGGATGCTGTATGCATAACCCCCCCTCCAACTGACTTTTTACATTGTGAGAACGGACAAGAATATTGGTCTCAGCTAGGTCTAAACCAAGTTAATCCAAACCTCCAAAGAAAAACAATACACACAGGACCCCCAGTTACAGAAAATCATAAGATTGTAAGATAAAATGCAATAAAACTAAAACAATTAGAAATGCTATTCTGGATAAGATAAATTACTGATGAATTTTTACAAAAATTGTTTTTTTTTTTTTTTTTAATGTTTATCATCAATCTTTCAAAACTATTTTTTGTAGCAGTTAGGTAATAAGTAAAAAAATAAATAAAGTAATTAAGTAAAAAAAAAAACTAGATTTACTAATAAATGGAAAAGCTTACAGCAATTCAATGACAATATTTTAAAGAGTATTTTGAATTTAATTCATGTGAATAAATGTAAGCCACAAGGAGAATCATATTGGTAGAACTTTCAAATTATTATAACTACTCTGGGAA